ATAGTGAAACGACTTTGAAATGAACTGGCATAGGTGGGATCGTTATTACCAGTATTCATCCGCCCAATCCATTCCAGAGCTCTCCCTGGTTTCTGTCTAATCCAGTGGATATAATTGCTTGTCATGCTGTAACCAGAAATGACACAAGACATCTTCACTGTGTCCCCAGGTCTCTTCACCTGAAAGGCTGACTGATCCAGTCTGATCTCACTCCAGACTCCTGTAAGAAAACAAGTCATTGTCATTTCAGTCAAAATTTTAATTCTTTTGATAAATATCATAGAAATGAATTGAAATTCTCACTGTGAAAAAGAACCACAAAAACAAAACTCCAGATGACTGATTTCTCCATCCCAAGACAAAAACACCTTTAATGGCAGTATGTTAGAAAAAAAAATATATGGGGAAAAGTTTCTTTCTCTGTCTAATGGAGACTTTACAGAAGTGCTGATGGCATTGTTTTAAAAGAAGAAGAGTTTGCATAGACCCTCCCCAGAAACTGTTGGCTTAGAATAAACATGAGCCAATACTTCCAGCCCATTTGTAAATTTAAAAAATGCAGAAATTAATGTAGAACAGTATTGAATGAACACTTTTTAATTTCAGCAAGAAAATGTAATCTTGTAAAAAAAAATTATTTATTATGTCTTTATTTGTTATGCTTTCTACTACTTCAGCTCTGACATACTGTAAGTCTCAACCTGGGCTTTTCATCTAAAGAGTCCATGTATAAATATTACCTAAGACTTAGCAATGTCACTTCAATATAATCTGGCGTAATAACACTGCAATAACTTATACTAATGATCTATTTAGCAAACCAGAAATTGCACTTAGCAGCCATAACTTTACTGTACATAATATAAGATATTGTATTTATAAGTCACCTTAAATCTCTCCTTTTTTTTTTACCATCCACTCTATATATCTGGATGCAGTGTATATAGTTCATGAACCTTTTCCTCCTTTGTGCACCTTCTGTTTGTTTGTTTATAAGAGCCAATTTCACAAGTGAATTTCTCCAGTGTGAGATCAATAAAGACAGTTTTCTTCAGTCTTCTGAAAATGTATACCTTCTTTGTATTTGGTTGAAAGTTATCTTTTGTTAAAGGTTATAGTTATTTATTTTTTTATATTTTTTTTATGCCAAACAGCTGGTCCAACCCTCAATAAA